CTCCTCGATTCTCCTCTTGGGATCTTGGGCACGCACGCGCACGCGCCTGGCGTGAGTTTTTTAAGCAACCGGGTCTGGGACACGAAACGCGGTTGACCACGTGGGAGTCCAGCAACATAGCCATTACACTAACTGCTGGTCCCTCCCTTCACTTTTGATATGGCCAGGGCCTTCTCATCTTTCAGATTTCAGTTTCAATGTCACCTCCTCAGAGAATCTCCCTGACCACTCTTACTAAACAATGCTGACTTCATTATTCTCTTTTCCTTAATCATTTCTTTACAAGTATTACTTCATCTGCATCCTTGTCTTGTTTCTCTGTCAACCTTATTAAAATGTGAGATGCAGGGGTAGCAGTTGGTGTAATGGTTATGTCGCTGGACTCCCATGTAGTTGACCGTGGTTTGCGTCCCGGTCCTGGTGACTTAAATTCACGCTGGGCACATGTGCGTGCATGCCCAAGATCCTGAGAGGAGAATGGAGGAGAAAGGATTGCAGCGTGGCCATCCCCCCTGGGGAGTGATTTATCACTTTCTGCCTCTCTGTCTCTCTCTGTCTTTCTGGTGAGTGCATGCGCCCTTAAGCAAAAACCTCTCCAAAAAAAAAAATGTGAGATGCATATAAGCAGACACGGTCTTGTCTTATTGACCATTGTATACTCACCATGACATACATAAACATATGTCTTAACTGAACACACAGGACAAGTAAATGAAGACATGTCTCTGCTCTCCTGGAAATACCAGTTTCATGGGTAGACACATCTAACTGGAATCTATAGTATATAATCTATTACTATAGGAGAGGTCCATTGGAAGGAAACAAGTACAGAAACTGGGAAAGAACTCAGTGAGGTAATAATAGTTGAGCTTGAACTCAAAGCAGAATTTTAGACAGAATGGTTATAGATGAAACAAAAAGGCTTGTGAGGCTGAGGTAAAAGGTTAAAAAGGCATGGAGCTGAGAGAATGTGTGGTGTGTTAAGACAACAGAGAAGGGTTTTGTATGAGTGGGATGGAAATGATACAAATCCCCTCTTCATGGACATTTAAGCTATTTCCCAGTTTTCTCTAATATAAACAATGCACCAGTGGTGCTGGCTTTAGTAGCACATACACCACAACAATGTTCCAGTGAATATCTCTGTACATTTATCTCTTGTACACTTGTGCTAAATTTTACTTATATAAGTTCCTAAATACAAAATTTGGGGAATAAAAGGCAAGTGCAAGAGAATGATGAGTGAAAGGAAGGTAAAAAAAAGTAGGTGAAGGTAAGAGAAGAGTTAGAGAGAGCTGGAGGGTAAAAGAGGGCAGTAAAACAGGATATTGGGGGTTAGAGGGAGTAGCAGTGGGGTAAGGTGGTAAAAGAGAGGAGCTGTGTAATAAAGAAATGGTAAGAAGGAGTAGGGATATGGAGAGTATGGAATGATGGTAATAGTGGGGGTAGGAAAACACATGGTTGAGAAGAAAGAGCAGGTGAATAAGAGATGAAGGTTGTAAGGTAAAGGATAAGAGAGTGGGGTGAGGGTAAGAGAAGATGAAGAGTGAAAAGAGGAAGATAAGAGAGGGTGGTGGAGATGAGAGGTAAAATGGGTATAAGGGTAGCTATCAAGAGGAGAGGGTAAGATAAGGGGCTGGATGATGTGCAGCAGTAAAATAAAACATTCTGTGAGTCTGATCTACATGGGAGGGTTCTAGGTTCATGTCTGGAGACCTCCCTGAGTATGCCAGCATGTGTCCATGATCTGGGAATGACTAAGGCTGGGGTGGACTGCAGTTGGGAGTATTATCTCTCTCTCCCTTTCTCTCTCTCTCTCTGTTGCTGTCTCTCTCACTCGCTCATGAAACAAACAAACAAACAAAACTTAAAAGGAAAGAGAGTAAGAGGGATAAGAGAAAGCAGGGGGTGGGTAAGAAGGAATAAAGTGGTGAGGAAGATGGGAATATTAAGAAGCAGGAGTAGGAAAGAGGACAGAGAGAGAAAAAAAAGGGTAGGATAAAATAAGAGAGGTAAGGCAGGAAAGAAAACAAAATCATAAGAACTAAGGGCCCCCGTACCTCAGAGATGCTTCTCCATCTTCTGGATTGCTGGGTACCAAGATGAGTCTTTGTCATAGCCTCTGCCTAAATCTCTGCACCCTGGACCAAGTCAGCTTCACTCTCACCCCAAACCACCATCCGTTCACTTCAGGTCACATCCACCAGTGGGGTTTAACGGCCCCAGTGAGATTTTTCCCTGGGGTCTTCCAGTTCAATGTTCTTACTCCTTAATGAAGAGGCCCCAGTGGAGTTCCTGCTCTCCTCTTAGGCAAATGCAGTTAGCTCAGAAACAGGCCCTGGTGGCTGGGCACTTCCCCCATCCACTCCTAGAGAGAAACAAAGGAGGAAGGCAAGGAGGCAGAGGAGGGGAGAGGGGTGGCTTGACAGTAGAAGTGTGGCCTTTCTCCTTAACTAGATGACCCACACTCAGTCCCCAAACTCCCAGCCGCAATCACCATGGCAATATATGGGTGAGCAGATTGTCTTGGGAGGACACCAGGCCTGTGGGTGGTGAGGGAGGAACAGGCAAGCAGCTAATGAGGGGAATGGAGGAAGAAGTGCAACACAGGGCTCAAAGGTAATCCAATT